TCTGCTTGGCCCTCAGAGAAAACATTTTTCAAATGCACGGAAAGGTGCTGAACCCAACTAAGGTTTCATCTTGAAAACCATATACTACCAAGGGACTTTGCATTCACAACAGTCAGGAAAATTCTGGTCGATTTGGGACCACTCTTTATGTTGTAGAATAGATTTAGGGTACATTCCAGTGGTCCTAGAAGGCTATAAAGATCCTTACCGACAAAATTGGTTGCAGAGATTATAAACAATATTATATTGTGAACATTTGCATCCATAGTCCTAGCACCTGTCCGAAAGCTACATAACATTGGCTCATGTCATCTGATCCTTGTTTCCACCCATAATTGTAGTGCCAAGTTATTCACAGTTCTCCACAGAATACTCTGTGGAGGCCTCCAAAATTGCAAGGAGGGTGGTGAAATCATGTTGGAAGACTACTGAAACAATATTTAAGTTCACAGCATATCATTGACCACTACGGAGGTAGGTTTAGTTCATAATAATAAGATTTGTTAATGGAAAGCGAGTAAAGGAGGCCACCAAGCATTCAACTTTATAAAGGCAGAATATTAGCTTCTAGCCCTTACAGTGGATATCAGTTCCTTGTTTTTTTTTTGTGTGTGGATAGCAGTATTCAATTCCCTGGGGTATGGTTCGACTCATGGTATGATCCAATTGAAAGGAGGCCTACATTTTGTATAGGAAGGAAGGAAGAAAGATATATACCGCAGTGGTCCCGTTGAGGAATGTACGGGCACTGTACCTGCACACATAAGCCTATTGTATGCTATAGGGTACTCAAGTGATCCCTGAAACACCGGTTGATCTGGCTAATATCATGATCGCCAGTAAGCTGCACAATGCTAGGCAATGTGACAAGCAACATTGGTCATGGGAGTTGCTTGGGAGTTGTAGTACAACAATCTGACATTGATCCAGAGGCCTCCAAGTCTATTTGGAGGCCACCGGAGTTCTACACACAAGTTGATAATTGAGGCTCTCATAAACAGAGGGAAGATCAATGTGTGTTCCAATATAATAAGGAGAGTACTTACAGCTCTTGTTGGTTCAGAAGGTTGAGCATGAATGTCAGCATTCCAAGGAGGCCTCCAGCTGGGAAAGGAAGAATGGGTGCATGTAGATAGGCTTAAGCTTTGCATAATCCACATATCCTCACGCCAGTACCAGTGCAAGAAACATGTGTTAATTCCCGTCAATCTGCTATCGAGCAAGCACGGAGGCCACTGAGGATTATGAAAGCTATGAATTTGCTCTTTCTGCATAGGCAATCAGTGCACATTGGGATCAAACCGACCACTGTGCCATGAGGGAGATATTTTAATTGCCTGGAACAGAGGCAACCCAGATTACGGAGGTAACCGAAATCCCGACCCAAAAGGGATGCCATCACTCAGTAGCACCAGGCTTCCCACCGGTCTATTCAGGAGAGAGGAGGCCTGCATTACATAATAGAAGCAAATGTCTCCCTCCGTCGGAGGCGACCTCTTAGGTACCTTTAACTAGTACAGGGAAAGGTACCTAAGAGGTCCGCCACGTGACCAAATCGGTGACCCCTGGGGTGACAATACTGGTGCCACGCCGTATAATCATCGACACAGGTTCTCGAACGATCCAAAATCCACGGACATTCGCATTCCGGCAGAATGTGATGACCGGCCCTCTTGCAGGAGTGGAACTTAGCATCGGGCGATGATTCCGAGCCAGACTCGGCGCTTGAAGTCTGAAGAACGACTCGGAGATAATCGAAGATCTCCAAGGAATCCAAACTCACCTCACCCTAACCCACATACCAACTACATACAAAATATCTCAGCCGCTCCCTCAACCTGCGCTGGCGTGCTGAACGGCCTCATTAGAATCATCACGGCGCAGTACGTGTCGCCGTCCATGTGGGTCCGCGGTGGGTCCCGCGCACTTCTTCCTCTCCTCACTCACCAACCCCAAAGTCCCCCCACTTATCTTATCCTACACAATGGCCCTTGAACTCTACGGCGTGCGTACCCATCTCATCTTATCCCACCCTCCCTTTCCCCATCATCATCACCTAATTAGCTCACTCACCCGGATCTCATCTACCTACACCCAGGACGCGCGCTCGATCTGTAACAAGCGCGTCGCCCTGATTCTCCTCGAGAAGCAAGTCCCCTTCACGCTCGTCCCCGTGCTCGCCGGCGCGAAACTGCCGAGTACAAGGCCAATATGCAGCCCTTTGGGCAGATACCCGTGCTTGAGGACGGGGGGTATGTTTTGTTCGGGGCGCCACTTTTCCTTCTGCATTCTGGTCTGTCCCGGGAAAGCGTGTAGAGGGCTTATTTAAATGGTGTGATAGAATCACGCGCGATGGGGCGCTACATCGCACGGAATACGCAGGGCAGGGGACGCCGGTGCTCATCGTTGGAGAGGAGGCGGGCGTGGAGGAGCTGGGCATCTTCGAGCAGGCGATGACGATCGAGGCGACGCAGTTCCTCGCAGCGGAGCAACTGGTCCATGAGGTGCTCATCAAGCTGTGTGTCCTCCTCGTCCTCGTGTTATATTTTGCTGCAAGCGATGTAGGCATATGGGAGGGACGACGAAACCCGCGGAGGTGACGCGGCTCACGGCGCTGCTTGCGGCAAAGATGGATGCATAAGAACAGATCCTCGGGAGGACGAAGTACCTTGCGGGCGATCTGCGTACCCTTTTACTCGTGTTATTAATCCGCTGTTGAACTCATCGGCAGCACATCAGGCTGGCGGACCCGTACCACCTCCTACCTCCCGTACGCCGAGTTGATCACCAACCGCATGGGCAGCGACGTGATGACGGTGCGACCGAACGTCGCGCGGTGGTTCCGGGAGATCAGCGCACGACCGAGTTGGGTTGCGATTAAGGACGGGGTTAGTTCGACGGTCTGAGGCTTGGAACGGGGTGTCGAGCCAGGCGGCGTGGATTCACTGTGTTCCCACCCCCCGTAGACCGACCTCTGTCTACGTAGCTCTACATGCAGCGACATGCAGCGATCTTCAGCTACGTCCAGCTACTTATGTGTACACCGAGACCTGTAGCGAGCTTGATCCATGTCCGGCTACCATCCGGCTAAATGCCGTAGACACGGTCCGTCTACCCGTCGGCTACCCGTCGGCTACGTAATTCCGGGCCAACATCATTGAACGCCGTTGCCAAGCACAGCCTAACGATGATCAACCGCTGCGAAATCTCGAAATTCACTTGAAATCTTGGGAAATGCCACACTTCAACGTTTCAACTTGATTCTTTGAGTTTCCTTAGCCCATTCTGGATCCCCAAATTGGCTCAGGTATGTGTACATATGTCTACATCCGCCTATGTGCGGCTACGTGGGTCTACGTGGGTCTACGTCGGTGTAGGTGAGTGAACAAATGTGGAGCTATGTAGACCAATGTAGACTTACTGTGTCTACATGGTGTGGACACAGGTAGACACAGGGTTCCATCTACCCTTCGTCTACCGCGGACCCTCCATCTACATGGGGTGGGAACACAGTCACTGCGTTTAAGGCAAGTCTAGGCAGGGTCAGTGGAGGTCTGCCGAGATATCCTGGCAGACATGAGCTCACGGTCGATCGAGATACCCTGGTAGGCTTAGCAGAGGTCTGTCGATTTCATGTTTACCGACCTCCGCAGGGCCTTACCAGGTTATCTCCGGGGACCTTGGCCGATGATTCTACCGAGTCCCTCTGCACCTGCCCGGTCGAGATCTGCCGATCTCAGTTGGCTGGCCTCACCAGGCCCCTGAAAAGGTGGCATATGCACAGAGTCTGTATAGGTCTGTGTATATGGCATAGCAGACCTCCACAGCCCCCGACTTAGATTCATCTTACAGCTGATCTCAAAACTAATGAGACGATCAGTTTTTTTTTTTTTGCTCTTCCCGAAAAGGAAAGTTCACTCACCCGCAGAAAATTCAATATAAAAACACATCATGAGGAGTGCCTGACCTGACTATGGGTTGGAAAGTGCTCAAACATGCAAATGGAGTGAAGGAACAGCGCCTACGGCCGAAACGATCCGGGACATCACTGTAGCACGTGATCTGCGGGCAGTCCCGAGAGCTCGCTCAGACTGTTGTTTCCTCAGTCCGCAGGGTGTTTTTGCTCGGGAGAGCCACAAAATAGCCTCTTGGTGTCATTTCCAGTGTTCATGAGTGCTAAAGTCATGGTCCAGTACGGTTTCGCGGGAATTCCCCTTTTGGGAGCAGCGGGAAAAAAAAATCGATCAGTCTCATTAGTTTCGAGAACAGCTGTAAACGCAGTGCTAGTGATTGGATTGGTGTTGGTCGTTTTGTGCAGGTGAATGTCAGGAATAGAGAAAGACAATTAGCGACGGGATCTGTGTATGAATACAATTTCAACTAGGTATACACAAAGTCTACTCTGCTTGCGTCGTGGTCACCCTTTCCGCAATCAGGGAGCAAGAAGAAGCAACTTCAGTCTTGCTCGCCGCGTTGAAAGTCTCCTGCGGGGGAACCGGTTCAAAACGAAAACTCAATTTTAGGACCACCGAGTCCTGCGTTTAGGAGTGGAATAGAACATGTAATGATAAAATTCAGCGAGACCACCAAAAGGAGATCCAGCTGATTTATTCAGACACAAGGATTCAAACCCTAAATTGCCTCCAAGGCATCGAAGCGTTTTTGTTTATAATTAGAGGCCGTGTTCCCATTGCACCATGTCTGAGTTCATATCTTAATGGAAGTAGTTTTATCAGGTCGTTCAAAGAGGAATGCAAGAAATGCAAAAATGTAAATAAAAAACATGTATCATCCACATGAATTGAGACACAGCAAGCAGGGAGGATAGAAGCAAAAACTGAAGCCCTGTTCGTCGCGTTGAAAGTCTCCCGCCGGGGAACCAGTTTAAAACTAAAATTCATCTTCAGGTCCGCCGAGTCCTACGTTTAGGAGTGGAATCGAAGATGTCCATAATAAACTCCAACGAGAGACCACCAAAAAAGAGGGACCTGACAGAGTTACTCAGACACAGGGATTCAAACCCTGGATCACCTCCAAGGCATGGAAGAACTTTTATTCATAAATAGAGGCCGTGTTCCCACTACACCATGTGTGAGTTCATATCTTCTCGATTGAAGTTGTTTTATCAGGTCATTCAAAGAGGAAGTGCAAGAATGCACAAATGTAAAAAGAAAAATGTAGCATACACATAGAATCAAACCCTGGACTATCTCTGAACATTAAACTGATGCACCGGTATTTTATGAGAAGAGGTTGTGTTCCAGCTACACCATGTCTGAATCCAGGTAGTCTTATCAGGGTGTTCAAAGAAGGAATGTAAATCAAAAGAAAAGCCAATCTACTGTATCATTCGGATACAGGGATTTCAACCCTAAACTGCCTAGAACAGACATTCGTGATAAACATTGCAAGAGGTCGTGTTCCCATTACACGCTGGCTGAATTCCTTCCTGCTTCCTTCGTAGTTTTGTTGGCGTGCTCAAGGGAGGATGCAGGAAAAAAGACGTGGACACCATGCATATTCAGACACAGGGAATCGAACCCTGAATAGCCTCTTAAAGCATCACGAAAAATTCGACTATTGCAAGAGCCCGTGTTACCACTACACCATGTCTGATTCCCTGTCCTGTTTCCATGGTGGGATCTATGAGATTGTTCAAGGGAACATAAGAAAAAAAAAACCTCAGACACAGGAATCGAACTCTGAACTGCCACTGAAAATTCATCAAACTCATATGAAAAAAAGGAACCGTCTTCCCATCAAACCAGATCTGAAGTGCTTTCCTCCCCATCTCGGCAGTTTTATCACGTTGTTCGAGGGAACCAACTGGCTGATTTCACCACCATCTCGTCGCTTGCGCGGCCCGCCTTCTCCGGCTTCGGCTTCGGCGCGCACCCCGTGATGGACCTGGGTCGTCGTCCGCCCTCGAGTCCCATCGCAGGCGCCCTAATCGTGGCGGCTCTCATCCGCTTTCATCGATCTCATCCTCGCCTCCGGTGTCTGTCATTCACCATTCACATCCATCCTCTCCTTCTTCAGCGTTTGCACTTTCTTTCACCGCGCCCTTTCTGAGGCTGTTCGTCTTACCCGGACGGCCCGCAATTGCATTGTCCAACGTCCCACTTGTCGCGTCGTTAACCATCGACACGCCCATGGCCCCCATCGTCTCCATCGCCTCTACCCCACGTCGTCGCCATCCCCGTCATCTCCGCGTCACGCGTCCGTATCCACCCGCATTGCATTGCCTTTCCTTCCGCGCACTTCACACGCCGTCCCCACCCTCCTGTGTTCTTGCGTGTCATCGCTCGCTCACCCTGCGTCCACTTAATATCCACGCGCACGCCCCTCCTCGTGCTCGCAGCGTCCCTTTCCCCGCCTCTCCGCATCTTAATTATTCTGGTGCGCTCTCCCTTCACACCAGCCGCTTCATTTCCTCCTGCCCCTCTTCGGCATCCGTCCGCGTCCGTCTCCCCTCGCTCCAGCCTCTTCCCCCTCCCGTCCTTCCTCGCCCTCGTAGCGCACACAGTCTTCACCCTCTACCTCTTCTCCCCCGTCCGTCCGCTCTCTCCGCCTGTCCCTACCTCAGTCTGTGTCCGTGCCCACGTCCCGTCGCCATAGCCCGCTCTCTTCCTCCCACCGCCACAACCAAGTCCCAGCGCCTCGAATGCCATTCACGCACATCGAATCCCCGCATTCGCAACTCCAAGTTTCGAATCCCCGTGCTCTCAAATCCAGGTTCCCAATCCCCGCCCGCGCAAATCCAAGGCTCGCGCCCGCGCGCTGCTGCGTTGCCTCCGCATTCCGTACAAGCACGTCCGAAATTCAAGTCTCGAATCTGAATGCCCGCGCTCGCAAATGCAGGTCCACGTCTAAATCTTCGCGGTCTCAAATCCAAGTCTCGAATCCCCGCGTCTCGCAACTCCAAACTTCACGCGCATCGTGTCACCGTCTCGACTCCGCATCAGGTCCCAGCCCTTCTCAAATTTGCGCGCATCCACGTTCGCAAGTGCAGGTCCGCGTCCCGAGTCAACGCGTCTCGGAAATCCACATCCCCCGCGCTCGCAACTCCGAATCCATGCGCCTCGCCGCGATGAGCACGAAAAACCGGGCGTTGGTGATTCTGGAATGTGTGGGTCGGGTGGGTGGCGTTGGACGGTAGGTAGGTGCGGGCAAGAGGGAGGTGCGAGAGGCAAGTACTTAGTATGTAGCACTATTGTTAGTTTTTGTTTAAAAAAATGGATGCTGTTTGAATGTACACCGACTCCCGAGTGAGTAGGGTTCCTGTGCTGAAATCGAACCCCGCACTGCCTCTCAATTTTACTGGAAAGTACCCAAAATATGAGGCTGTGTTCCCGTTACACCATGTCTGAGTTACATTCCAGTACATCCGGGTAATTTTATCAGCGTGTTTGAGTATTAGCATTTGAATAGTTGTAGACGGAGCGGGGTTCTCGTTCTTTCTTTGTGCTATGGACACTGGATACTTGTTCAACCTTCAGCAGCGGGTTCAGCGCGGGGCGGTGAGAAATGAAAATAACCAAAGACAAAAAGCGGACACAGATCAACCAGTCAGACACAGGGAGTCGAACCCTAGACTGCCTTTATAACTGAACGCTATCGGATGAATTGCAAAAGGCTGTGTTCCCACTACACCATGTGTAAGTCCCTTCCTCGGTGCTTGGGTTTGTTTTATCGGCTTAAACGACTGTTTGAGTGACTCGGAGTGAGTTCCTGTTCTAACTTCTTTGATGTAGTCTTTCTTCGAGCCTCGAGGGGGATGGTCGAATTGAAGCTTCAACATTTCAACCTCCAGGCAACAGGCTACAGCAATGGGTTCAAGTTGAATTTCGTGCGCGGGGATGAGAAAATGATGTCAAAGACAAAAAAACTCACTTCCAAGCTACATTGAGACATAGGGATTCACGCCCTGGACTGCCTCTGAGAACTGGTGCACCATTTTATATAATCAGAGGTCGTGTTCCTGTCATGCTTCCACGGAATGTTTTATAGCTCGTTCAAGGAGGAAACTGTAAGAAGAAAAGAAAAAGGATCAACCAATGGACCGTTCAGACACAGGGATTTGAACCCTGAACTGCCTCTGATGCACATATCGACAACAACATGAGAGGCCGTGTTCCCGCTACACCCTACCCGAATATCTCCCTATTCCAAGTTGGGTTCTATTCGCAATGAGATCTGAGATTCAACCAAAGGTTTGAGCCTTCCCGGCGCGGCGCGGGTGGACCCAGTGAGTCTGGCAGTTATGTCAGTGCCAAGCCCAGCTGCTGAGGCCTGCGATCACATTGAGTCCACGACGGCGTCGAGCTCACCGCCGTCGCGGTCGTCGAGCAAGTCGAGGTCGCGGGCAACGTGCATCGGCTCACCATCCCCGCATCAATGATGTCACCGCTCCCGAGTCCCATCCTCGTCGTCTAACCACCACCACCTACTCACCTCGATGGCGTCGACACCCCGCTCGCACGCCTCGCCCAAACGGCCCGCCCTCTCCGGCTCCGCGCCTTTGAGCCCTCCTCAACAGCCTTCTCCGACGCCTCTTACCGACACTGGCTCTGCGCGCACCCCGTGATGGACGTGGGTCGCGTCGTCCGCCCTCGACTCCCATCGCACGCGCCCTAATCGTCGCGGCTCTCATCCTCTTTCATCGATTTCATCCTCGCCTCCCAATGGCACTCATTCACCATTCACATCCATTCACTTTTCTTTTCGCTCTCTTCTTTCTGCGTAGCAGCGTTCGGCTCAAGTTCTGCTCTTTCCTTCCCCGCGCCCTTTTCGTCTCGCCCGGACGGCCTGCAATTGCACCGTCTACGTCCCACTTGTCGCGTCGTCATCCATCGACACGCCCGCGCTAAGCCCGCCTCCATCGCCTCTACCCACGTCGCCCTTCACCCCCGCCCCGTCATCCCCGCGTCACGCGTCCATATCCACCCGCGTTGCTCCCGTCCTTCTTGCTCCTCTCCCTCCTCTTAACGCACCCAACCCTCATCCCTCCTTCCCTTCTCTTGATCCTGGTCTGCATCCTTCCCTCTACCTCTCCGCGGTCTGCCGCCCACGCACGTGCACCCCAATCCCCTCCGCGCACTGGGTTCCGGGTCCCAGCGCCCATCGCCGTCACGCACCGCGTATCCCTTTCCCACCATCAGCGCCATCCGCTTCCGTCATGCACTTCCTCTCCTGCGCTTCTCCCTCCCTCATCCCGCGCGCGCTACTCCGTCCCGTCCCTTCTCTCCGCGCTTGCCTGACCGCTGGTGCACGCACGCCGTCTCTGCACCCCTGCCATCGTCACAATCAAGTCCGGGACAGTCTCGAATCCTCGTGCCAGTAAATGCAAATGCAAAGCGACATCCCGCGCCCCGCGCCCCCTCGCCGCTGGCGCGCGCGTCGTCTCCACGCGCTGTCTCTCGCCGCCACCAGCCACGTCCAGGTCCAGGCTCTGCATTCGAATCCCCGCGCTTCGCAAATCACCATGCAGGCGCTCAAATCCAAGTCCCCAGCTTTGGCTCCGAATTCGAATGCCAGTGCCCACACTCAAAGTGCACCGCCTCTCGAATTTTCACGCTCCGCACACGATCGATCGATCGCAAATCATAATCCCCGTGCTCGCAATCCAAGTCTCGAAGCTCCGCGGCCGCAAATGCACGCGTTCGCAAACAAATGCAGATTCAAATCCCGCCCATTCGATTCCATAGCCCGCGTTGCAAAAATCGACGCGCATCTCGAATCCAAGGCTCGAATCCCGCGCTCGCAAGTTCGATGCTTGAATCCCCACGCTCGGAAATTCGTCCCCGCCCTTCTCAACGCGCTCGCAAACTCAAGTCCGGCCGACGCGCATCGCCTCCGAAGAGCACGAATGGGCACGAACGTGAGCAAGGGCGAACGGGGGTTTTGATTTATGATTTATGATTCCGGGATGTGTGGTCGGGTTGGGTGGCGTTGTGTGGCAGGTCCGAGGTAGGTCCGAGGTGTGGAGAGGCAAGGTTCGGGCGGAGGGAGGTGCGAGGCCGGTGCGAGGTCCAAGTACTTAGTATGTAGCGCTGTTGTTAATTTTTGTTAAAAAATGGATATTAGTTGAATGCAGCGAGTGGGCGGGGTTCCTGTTCTGAGCGGTCTTTCTTTGAGGTTGGGCAATATCGCCGGGTCCGATGAGTAGGAATGGAAAATGACAAAAGAAAAAAAATCGTTGATTCCAGCCTCAGACACAGGGACTCGAACCTTGGACTCCCTCTGTATACGATAGACATTGAAGAGATATAAAAAGAGACAGCGTTCCCATTACACCATATCTAACTCCCTCTCCACAACATCCGGGTGCTTTTATCAGCTTGTTTGAGTATTGAAAAACTAGTAGAGCCTGAGCGGGGTTCTTGTTTTTCAGACATTCAAATTTGGAGGCGCGAGCGGGAATGTTCGACTTGAAGCTTCGATTTCGAAGGTGAGAGAAATGAAAAGGAAGAGAAAAAAAATCAAGGGATCAAAAGCCCTACATTCAGACACAGGGAGTTGAACCCTGGACTGCCTCTCAATTCTTGCTCGACGCTGCCTAGAACAAGAGGCTGTGCTCCCATTACACGATGTCTGAGTTGCTTTTCAGTACATCCAGCTAGCTTTATGGGCTTGTTTGAGTACTGGTGTTTGAATAGTTGTAGACGGAGCGGAGTTCTTGTTTCTTCCGATCGTGTTGTGGACACTGGATACTTATTGAACTTCAGCAACGGCTTCAGCGCGGGGCGGTGAGAAAATGAAAAATAACTCAAGACACAAAAACAGAATTCAAGTGAAGCATTCAGACACAGGGAGTCGAACCCTAGACTGCCTCCATATTTCGGCTATGTTTGTGAATGATAAAAGGCTATGTTCCCACTACACCATGTCTGAGTTCCCTCCCCAGTGCTTGGGTTGGTTTTAGGGGCTTGTGTGATTGTTTAAATGACTCGGGGTGAGTTCCTGTTCTGGCTACTTTGATGTAGTCTTTCTTCGAGCCTCGAGGGGAATGGTTGAATTGAAGCTTCAAAATTTCAACCTTTATACGGCAAGCTACAGCAGTGAGTTCGTGCGACCGCGACGGAGGTGCGCCTCCCTTTTAGCTGGGCAACGGGGGTGACGTGCCTGCCACCATTTGTCTCGTGTGTGCCAGGCGCGGCCACTAGTGAAACCATTGCCCTGCCAGCGTCTTTGATGACAATACACCCACCTTTGGTGTCGGCCACGGCACCGACATCTGTGCGCTTCGATCCGGCCAGACATTATGTCAGGCGTGGAACACCAAGGGCGCTGGAGCCAACTGTACACATGAGGCCATCCTGCAGGCGCACTGATGCACCTTCTGTGGTGGCAATCACCATGCCTTCAGCTGGTCTTGCTGTCGCAAACCGCCGCTCTGATGAGCCGAGCTTCGTCGCCTCTTTCTTGGACTGAGTCCGCGCAATCTTCGTCACTTCGCTTAAATTCACGAAACCTCGTCACTTTGATCGCATTTAGGGAAACTTCGTGAGTTCAAGGAAATTTCAATGAAGGTTCGTCACTTTCTCAGGATCAACGTACCGCGTGCCTGTTGGCACATCACAGAATAAGTGGTGTGCCGAGATTGGCCGGTTAGGTTCGGGTTAGCTGGTTAGTGGTTAGAGGTTAGTGGTTTGGGTTAGCCGGTTAGGGTTAGAGGTTAGTGGTTAGTGGTCAGCGGTTAGCGGTTAGCGGTTAGGGTTAGTGGTTAGTGTTAGGGTAAGGGATCTATATGAAAAAACCTGCCCAGCCTTGTGTGAAGGAACAATGATGGCCGATGTTCCGGGTTCTTGAACGTGCCGAGTTAAAATGACGAACTTTCACAGAAAATCATCGGAAGTAACAAAGTTTCCCTAAATGCAATCAAAGTGACGAGGTTTCGTGAAAATAAGCGAAGTGACGAAGTGACGAAGATGGCTACTACCCTCTTGGACTCCCTCCCCATTGCCGCCCACTTACCCGCACACAATGAGATCTTGAACCGAGTCCCCACACCGTACAATGCTGGCATGCTCGCCCTCGTCTTGGACAAACATAACCTCTCCGCCACTTACCCATCCCTCGTGCATGACCTACGAAATGGTTTCAGCATGGGCAAATTTTCCCCCTTGCATGAAACGGTCATTTTCAAGAACCACCCGTCCACCAACACCTACGGAGATTTCATTGATGCCTACATGGAAGAGGAGGTCGCTGCACGCTGCATGAGCGGCCCCTACTCCCAAGCCGAGATGGAGACGATCCTAAAAGATTTTTTCCAATGTTCTCCCATCATCATCTCCATCCAGCTGCAAGGGCCAGTCGAGCCTGACAAACTCCGCCTCTGCCGACATCTCTCCAAAAGCAACAAACTCCATCCATCCACAAGCACCTACATCAAAAAGGAGAAGTTCCCGATGAAGTTTGGCATGGCATCGAAGGTGGCTGAGATCATGAGTAGCCTCCACCCATTACCCTTTGCTTCGTAGGTGTGTCACCAACTGGAGTGAGCTCTCGTTCTGGCTGGTAGAGTTGGCTCCTCCAGGGGAGGGCTGAAAATAACTTTTATCATGTAGTATGAGGGAGTTCCAAAATTGCAATAAATACCTCTTGGAGCACCACAGGATGCCAGGAGGATGAGTTCTAGGTCTCAGAAGTCAAATATGGTGTATGCATCCCGATTTGCACAGCGGATCATGCTTCACACCATCAATTGGCGCGAACATTGTGTCCTGGTTTCCTCTAAGGATGGACAGCAGCTAAAAACATACTCATAATATATATGGGAGAACAACAGATTGATATACTAATTAACATATGTGTGAGTGGGTCAGAGATGTGGTCAAAGAGGCACTCAGGAGACCCTCAGGCAATATTGAAATTCAATGTTTGGAGCTCCGAACATATAATTTACTTGTATGAGGGGTGGTATGAATGTAATGTGTATGATACCGGACATCACTTCGTGACAAGTCTGTGTCCCAATTTGGAAATCCTTACTAGTCACTCAGATTTCACCGGAATGTAAATTAAACTGTGTAAATGTACTGCAGGAAGGCCCTTTACATATTCCCTGGGTCAAAAGTTCGAAAATCCAATATTTTCTTTTTCTCAAACGGATTTCGCGCTTTGATGGCGGGCCGCTAGTAGCCGAAGTAACCGGTGGCTGTGTATCCGCATCAGTTTCCTTTTCGAGTTTGCTGGCGCACATTCCGATATACAAAAAGTTGTAAAACACTCATCCAAGGGCATCAGGAATGCCAGTGGTTCATCGCTTCACTGAATCTGAGTAAATGGCAGGTCAAGGTCATGCTGGAGCCCACAAAGGTACATTGACTTTTGAAATTTCTGGCCAAGATTTCGCGCTTTTTTTCCCACGGTCAAACCGCCTCCGTCTTTTCTGGAATGAAAATTTTACCTATAAACCTGGCCATTCTGGGTCTGAATCTCAAATCTTGGAGGGGAAGAGCCAAAATTCCAGGTTGTCACAAAGTCATGTCCGGTATCATACTTCAAAGGCCTTCTAGTCACAGTAGAGTCCACAGAGATGGGCCGCAACATCTTTGGTTTGGATTTGGGAGCTTTCAATGTGGTGGCTGTGAGCCCGCACATGACTCGGAAGCGCGGCCGTTGAAAAAAACTTTTCGACCCTATATCCGGTTTTCGAATCCCGATTCCCCCTTGTGGCCAGATTTCCTTCCAGATACAATTGCTGGCCGTGCCAGAATTGTCCGAGTGGCTTGGCTAAGTGGCTTGCGCTGCTTAGCGGAGTTTGAATTTGGCTTGGCGGGCGTGGGTGGCTTGGGCTTGCAGCATGGCTTGGCTTGCGCTCGCTTAGCACTAGAGCTACACTGTAAGCATTTCTTCGCTGACTGCTCTCCAACGCTTCTGATTCCTTCACAGGCATCTCTACATCATAGGTACTGCCCGCCCTGTCGATTTGAGGTGCCGAAATGTCGATGTTCATCATTCCGTCAATAGCAAGTGCCACACCCACACAGCTCCCAAGCTGCGAACCAGGGAATTTGTAGTACTGGTGATCCAGCATACAAGCGGCCAGCCAGTCCCGCATCTTGTGCAATTGACCCCCTGGAATTGACCCTCTGGAATTGACCCTCGGGAATGATGTTGTGCTCGGTTGAAATCTTGTAGAATTCTGTAAGGATAACCCACGCGTACCGTACTACATGTTTGTCTTCCGTAAACTCGCTGTTCGGCCTTTGGACCACACGAGTATAATATACCCCCATCCATTTTCGAACTAGAATTCACTTATTCTGGATTTTCCATACCAGACCGAGGCTTACAGTACCGTCAAAAGTACTTATATTCAAACTTTGTCCACGGTTTGAACCATCTTGAATATTGCCCTCAATGAATTAGATCCGCCGCCGTCGGTTGGGTTAACCTTGGGCGTTGAGGATGCCTTCGTCTGGTTGCCTCTCTTTTGGGTCACTCTCGTCCATTCCTACCGCTCTTTGACCTGAGGATCAGCGGGTCCGGATCGGTCTCCCGCTACTCTCTCCACACCTAACAAAATATACGGCTGTCTCTTTCGATTCTTTCCTTGTGTGTGATGAATCGGGGAACAAAAATAATGATGATAATTGATTCAGAACCTGGCAGGAAAAGGAGGACTGGTCCTGCAGGATCACCATCAGAAACCAGCCTGGTGCTGTAGTAATCTCTGCGGCGCAAGACCCTGCAAGTATGGCTGGATAAGAATTCCCTCCAGCTCCTCGACAATCATTGCAGGGTATCCGAAACTCGAGGAACGTCCTCGCATTGCTTCGAAGAGAGCGGCTATATCGACCCATCGATGCTGCAACGACATCGATTCAGAGGGTGCACGCTGCAGGGGGCGAGGCAGTGGCCGAATAAAAATAATCAATAACGACGAGAGAGAGAGATAGAGAGAGAGAGAGTGATCTCCGTACACATAACTGACTGCCAGCGTATGTTTGGCAACCTTCGAGGCCATTGGGGAATCTGTGGCCCATGCAGCCCGATGAGCCGGATTGATTGGTGTGCCCCTATTAGCAATAGGAGCGACACAGGGAACAGCTCATTCAAGCCGGTAATCGGTTGTGAGGCCAAGCTCATCAAAGGCGGTAAATCCGCATCAACTACGACAGAAAGAATTCGTTCACAGCTATTGGTCGACGTCGTGAATTCGACGAGAGTAAGAGAAAGGTGAAATAAGCTCACAAATCACGTATCCTGGCCCGACAAGCTGTCTCCCATAGTCCGGGGGCCTTGCAAGATTGGGGCCCAGCTAAGAGAGACTTCCGGAAACACTCGGCCGAGAAGTGATGTCAAATATGGGAAGGCTTGTTACGAGGCTGAGTTCCCGCTGCCGCATTGCTACCGCTTGTTGTGCCGCTTCTATGCTGGGAGGAGCCGGCATAAGTAGATGCACTTCGGGTCTGGCGGGCTGCTCGAGCAGTCGGGGATTTAGCCTCGAACTTCTACAAACCATGACCGAGAAAGGGGTTGTGCTAAGTAGGAGAGGAGCGTGAGGTGACTTGTCATCATTGATTGATCCGAGCGGGAGTTGGCCTGACATTTAGGGGCTTCCGCCCCGATTCAAACTTGAACAAGACCTGTGGCCACTTCGCTCCGGCGCAGAAGAAGGAAAACCAACTGTTATTTTGCAAACGACGATAATAAAGAAGAAATTCCATTTAAATTCTGGGTACACGCTAGGAAAATACAATAGTGTAAAAGGGAGCTTGAAGGCAAGTGGTTCCCTGGACTTGAAGGCTCTGATACTGTTTGGAAGTTTGGACCAACAGTCGTGAGTGGGACAAAAGGAATCAATTGATTTGGCATACCAAAAGTTTAAAGGATAGAAGGACGCGGAGAAAATGCACCTGCAGTGAGCATCAGAAGTATGTGAATCGAGGGGGAACCGGTGAGGCAAGCAAACGTGGGTTGAAAATCGTGTTAAATACTTGAACAGAACCAAGAATTTGGAGAAGCGTGAAGGAATTGACATAGGAGGACCGGAATTAATATTCATGCCTGCCCATCACCCATTGCCTACCAGAGCTCAGAATGAGCAAGCAACTTATGACAAGCAAATTGAAAGATGGAATTGGTGGACACTATGAACCCAGAGTCCGGGAGAAACCAAGAACGAATCCAGAACCCACACATTGAGGACGAGAGCTAGTGTGGAATCGCGGGGTCGGTTTGCTCAGTGCATATCCGTTGTAATAGGGATTGAGGATGAGAAGAGAGAAATTTGAGGAAAGCAAATGGAACCGAACCTTCATAGAGTAATTGCACCGCCGAGGAACCATTTCGTTAAAGAACAAAGCATTCCCGCCTCCGCGCCACTCACAGCACGCACCTCCAGCTCAGCGTCCTCGAGATGTCAATTTTGCTCTAGTGGGCGGGGGTCTCGAATGAGGACGCAGCCCACGTCACCTCTGAGTCGCGACGCCGTGCAACGTGTACAGTGAGGCCTAACCCCTGGACCGTTCAGGGCGGATGTGAGCGTGAGGCCTGCGGTTCTGCGTACGTGGTACTTACGCTCGCCGGGCGGTCTGACCTGCAGATACCGCTACACATAGCACCGACGCGGAGTGCTTCTACGTCGCATCGCTCCTACTCCAAAAGTGTGCTGCGATATGTTGCCTTTCAAGTTCAGAGTCTTGCGTGCGCAGATCACCCGAGTCAACTTTCATAAGTTGACTGCGAGCACAAAGACCTTTCTGGCGATATACCTAATCTAACATTGCATGTGTGCGCGTGCAGCATCACGGGGACGCCCGCGACGCTCTCACCCAGTTAAATTTGTAAAAGAAAAAAAAGGTTTATTGCAACTCATACATGACATGTAGCACGATCAATCCCCTTTACCGCTCGAGTCAATTCCACGGTGGCGGGTCAAATAGAAGTGAAATCCAGGAACTCCCATTTTATCGTCCACCATTCCCGCAGCAGTGTCTCCGTTGACATAACGAAAGTAGTCGATTGCAGGCCTATCATCGTACACCACCGCGGCAGACACGACGCCTCGAAACTTGATTTCTCGAACCTACAGACACGTAAATTCCGGTCAGGGCTCTGGCGAACAGACTGGAGACACTTACGCGAGCGCGACCATAGGACTCCTTGAATATCCGTTGCCCTCCTTCGCCGCGCACGATAATGGGTTCGACATCCTCCTCAGTCAGAAAGTTTTTGCCCACCCAGTTCATCTCCTTCAGTATGGGTGTTGCAGGATGACCGGTATCGAAGAAGCCCCCCTCCCATTCGCCCATCAAGAACGACGGCTCAACGGGTCTGAGCAGGTCGAATATTTTCGTGATGGCATCTTCGCTGGCCTTCCCGCCTGCTTTGATCAAGTCCAAATAAGCCTGCTCGGGTCTATTATTGAGGACGAAACATTGAGCTGAGGGCGAATGCTGTCGAGAGAAATTAAGAGGAGACGTACAGAGACATCGTCATCGTGGAGTAAGAGGAGAAGACGAGCAGAGAGCACCTGTACTTCAAGGTGTACTTTTAAGTGATCATTACTCCGCCAAAGACGGGCCGAATGAATCGAATTGGCTTCCAATCGCTCGAATGAGATTATGGATGTACATAAAAAGATCGAAGGTAATAGTGGCTGTCAGTGCAGGGTAGACGCTTCTGGGCGATTCCGACGGCGATTACGGAAACGATTCTGAGAATTCTGTTGGCAGAATTGTGGGAGAATCGTGCCAATCAATGTTGATTCTCGAGGCAATTCTGGCAGGATTCTTGGTCCAATAATTTATAATACCTTAACTAAGGGTGAGAAAAATTGTGTTGTATGAGCTAGGCAATCTATAATGCTGTCCGCAGGCTTTCAAAAGAGAACCGCCAAAAAACCGTAACAATTGAAGGGCAATTAGGGGGGATCGCACCTGCAAACACACGAGGTTTTACCCGGAGGTCGCGCCTTTAAGGGCCGGCCAGTCCACGAATTGCCAGCGTCTTGTGATATCGACCCCCTGGAATTATGTTGTGCTCGGTTGGCATCTTGTAGATTTCTGGACGGATAACCACCCTTACAGTACTACTTGTTTGTCTTCCGTAAACTCGTTGTTCAGCCTGTGGACCACGCGAGTATAATAAATCCCCCCCCCCCCCAAGAAGGTTACCGAGTTGGTAGTTTTGTAATGAAATTGGGGAGGTCAATATCTCGCCCAGAACGATTCTGGTTCGAGTCTGACAACAATTCCGATTCTGGAACGCCATGAATCGACGTCAAACGAGAAGTCAGAATCGGTGTTCCTCCTCCAGAGGAAGAACAGCCAAGAATCGCGTGAGAATCGTCCTCCACGTTGAGTCGGTCAAACCTTGTCGATTCTGAGCTGATTTTTGATCGATTCTGTCAGGAAAATCGGTCAAGAATCGACCGCACAATCGGATTCTTAATCGCTCCGTCCGAGATATTTGACCTCCCCTAATGGAGTTTTTTGTAATGAATGAGAATCGCAATCGTTATCGCCAGTAGAATCGGAGGAGCTTCTACAACGAGAATCGTCGGAGAAGCGATTTTGATTCTTGGTGATTCTCCCACGTTGACCGCTGCTGCCCTGATTGACGAAAATATGAGCGGACTCGGAGAGCATCTACCACATGTATACTCGCCGTCGCCAAAGATCAGATAAGCTCCCCGAAGGCAAGGGTAGATCAGGCAGCTGCTTCTCAACTGTCTCTCGGTCCGCGAGCAGATGGATCAGCAGAGCTATGTACGTCGCACAGCCCGTTGCCCATAGATATCATTTCCCTTATTCTCGGAAATGACAGATTTATTCAGGACAGTGGATTCCGTCTGAGGTGAGTCGGTTCCTTGAACATGAATCCCTATACCTGTGTGGGTGGGGGTCGGGTGGCGTCGTGCGGTAGGTGCGAGGTAGGTAGGTATGTAGGTAGGTAGGTGTGAGGTGGGGGCGAGCTGGAGGCGGAGGGAGGGTGCGGAGAGTGCGGATAGTGCGTCGCGAGGTGCAAGTATAAGTATGTAGCGCTGTTATTATTTCTTTCCAAAAAAAATGGATATTGGTTGAATGTACCGAGTGATCATGAGCGGGGTTCCTGGTGGAGTAGTACCACAGTTTGATAGGAATGGAAAATGACAAAAGACAAAGGGCCTTGTCTAACACATTCAGACACAGGGATTTGAACCCTGGATTACCTCTGTAAATGAAATACATGAACCTATTAGAAGAAGAGGCCGTGTTCCCCTTACACCATGTCTGAGTTCTATTTCAGTGCATTTGGGTGGTTTTATCAGCTCATTTGAGTATCAGCTGGGTGGTGTTAGCCTTTGAATGTAGAGCCTGTGCGGGGTTCTTGCTTTTAGATATTCGAATTTCGAGGCTCGAGTGATCAACTTGGAGCTTGAACCTGAGTTCGAAGGTGGGAGGAATGAAAAGGAAAAGGAAAAAAAAAACAATCTGTCTCAAATCCCTACAATCATCGAACCCTGGAATGCCCCCGGAACATACTTCTAAAATCTTACAGCAATTGGCAGTACCGAAGGCACGAATCGAAAAATTGCCGTTTTGGGCATTTTTTGATCTCCGGGACCGATTTGCTTATATCTCCACGACTACTGCACGGATTGACCTGAAATTTAGCTAGATAATTCGGCCTAATTCAACCACATTTAGTGATATAGGTAGATCAGGGAAAATATCTTAAAGTGCACTGTCTGTCACATCAGGTGTCTCAGGCAATGAATCCAGACTACCATCACCAAATTTGTCGATCGCATCAAAGCCCCCGTGACCTCGGCAAGCGCCGGCCAGGCTTGGACGCGACGCGCAAGCCCCTTAAAACACTCTTCAAGCCTTTCTCCCGCTGTAGCAGTCTTCGCAGGCCTTTCGACGTGTGTCTAAGCCCCTTACCAGCCCTGTGCCAGCCTTGGCTCTACCTCTCAAAGGCTTCCGAGGCTCTCCCCATAAGGCTCCAACCGTTTAGTTTTCGTTTAGGGATTCCCGTAAACTAAACGAAAACGGTTCGTAAACGTTTACAAACTGTTATAATCGTTTGTAAACGGTATATTTTCTGCCAATTTTTTTTGACTAGGACTCTACAATTTCAACAACCCCGCCTTTATCCACATCTTGGTAAGCATCGCACGCACTATCGTGTCGGCATGCAGAGACGATCGATTTTCATGACACAAGTGCCGTGATCTCGAGAAGAGTCGCTCCACAGAGACACTGGTCCCTGGAATGGCAAAGAAGTCTCGGGCCATCAACGCGATGACAGGGAAATCATGTTCATGCTCCTGCCTATTGTAACTTGAGTAAGTCAAAGGAACACAATTGGAGTTAATGGGGCTTTTCTTCCACCACATCAACGGACCGTGGGTTTCGCCGCGGCCATACGTGCGGTGAGCGATATAAAACCGTTCACATTCCGGTTGCTGTGGGATTGCATTATCTTCACCGTCGTCAAGCATACATACATCATCCAGAAAACTGCTAGTACTTCGTACTGGCTTGGGTCGGCTGTTCTGACTGCTTCGGTGCTTTTCATCGTAGGTTTCTTGTAAGCCTCGAAAGCAAATTCGAACAGGGTGCGGGCATTAGCGGCCCGTTCTGAGCTCACTTTGTGGAACTACCGCATGCTGAGGGAAGGATGCGGCACTAAACTTGCGTGGCAAACTTTTTATGCCCATTTGTTGCAGCGATTGTAAGTCACCGCGGACGCCAGGCCAGCGCTGCGACACACAAAAAAAAAAGTACCGTTTAAACCGTTTACAAACAGTTTGTTTACCGTTTACAAGGGTCCGTAAACTAAACGGTAAATATAAACGGTTAAACCGTTTACAAAAGTTTGTAAACGGAAACGGTTGGAGCCTTATCTCCCCAATCCAGCGGCTACCACACCTGCCGCCACTTTTTTGCTCTTGTGTCATCTCAGCTGGGGGCCGCATGAGGCTCGGGTACTTCGTCCTCCTTATTACCTGTATCCTTCAAGCCATGCCAGCATGTTTCGCTTGCGGCGCTAAGTGCAAAGAGGGCCGAGGAATAACAAATCACTATAATAAATGCGAGGTCCTTCAAGCCAGGCGTGCAGAAGGGGTAGCTCATGCCGTCGCCGTGGATAATGCCGCGGCCGCAACTGCGCTCGTTGACCAACCGGTAATATCTCTCGAACCGACGCCAGAAATTGATACGGCAAGTTTTCACGCAAAAATAAATAATTGTGTGCTCACTCACCGTAATTGGACAGGAAATTGCTGCTCGACCCCCATCTCCCGTTGTTTCTGCGCCCAGCCCTCTTCCCCCTGGCCCTGGTGGTTGTCCACGGCGACGTATTCGTTTACCTGAGAGATTTCGCGATGACCCCCCAGATCCCCCGACGGAGATTCCGGTTTCACCTGTGGAGGAACCTGCTCAGCCAACTACGGATAAGCCTCCTCCGAAGTGGATCAAAACGGAGCCGAACCGTTACGGTCTATATAAAAATTTCCCCAACCGACCCACTCACGATCCCGACGACTCCATCTCGCTTGATGATCTGTGCAAATCATCGGAGTTGCTTGTCCCTGCCAAAATTCCGGCCGCGTCAGCTTCCTCTCCACCCTGGTATCCTTTCGCGAGCGCGACCGTCGCGCGACTGATGACTTGGTTTAATATGGGCTCAACGCTCAAATCTCTTGCTGAGCTCGATTCTCTCGTCAACGACGTCCTATTGAAGGAGGATTTCGACCTAGCGGAGTTAGCGAATTTCAGTGGTGCAAGGGAGACTAAAGTTTTGGACAATTTCGCTCCTCATAATACAGATGATACCCCCGATGGGTGGAAAACAGCGTCGGTAAAAATCAAGCTCCCGGCACATAAAGTTTGCGTTCCAGAGGACGATGCGGTAGAGTTCGAGGTCAAAGGACTCATATATCGGCCACTACTCGATGTCATGATCGAAGCCTTCCAGAGTCCCGTGTTCGAGGAGTTTCACACTACACCATTCCAGTACCGCTGGGATCCACAGCACAACCCCGACGACCCCGACATCCGTTTGGATCCACCAGATGGCGATCTTGACGATAACAGACTTCCGGTCCTCCCCGACGGACATCAAGTCATGTACAGTGAAATCTACACCTCCTCCCGGATGATCACCGAACATAATTCCCTCCCTCGATCCACGGACCCCGCGACACCGAATCTTGAGACCGTAATCGCGGCGTACATGTTTTGGTCGGATTCCACCCACTTAGCAAATTTTGGCAACGCATTGCTATGGCCTGTCTCGGTAACCCAGACGTTCTGGTGACAGCACGCGCCCGCCCTCGGACCGCTTGATCCGTGATTGACATGTCGGAGTTTGAAATAAAAAGCGCAGAACCGTCACCAGAACGTCTGGGGCATTTGGTGGAGCAGGCCCCCCATCGAGTCACATTGACTTCTCCCTCGCCTTCCCGCTCCTTTACAAGCCTCGGGGCTCTTTCTCGTGACTCATGGGCATCCTGGGATGGACTCCTCGCTTCCCCCTTTTTTTCTCCGCTCACTTTATGGCTCTTCTCAGAGCATTCAAAAAAACCCTCCATTTAATCAATTGAGGCTGCCTCTGCCTCTCTGGCACCCAGGAAAAAATGAAGTCTGGTGCAATGCATCCAATATGTGTGTTAGAGCACTCGATAGGCAGGAAAAGGAATTCAGGACCTTGTCCAGCACGATATCGCTCCCAGCGTGACATTCAGGCGTGACTCGATGGGAGGCCGGCTCCACCAAATGCCCCAGACGTTCCGGTGTGATCTCTGCGCTTTTTCTTTCGATCTCCGACATGTCAATCACGGATCACACCGGAGCGTCTGGGTTACCGAGACAGCGCTATGGCCACTGTACACGTTCTTTGGGAATCAATCGAAATATAGCCGCGCCAAGCCAACCTCGAATACTGGTCATCATCGAGCCTATTTTCCCTCAGTACGCAACCTTATTTGTTTGGGATTTTCACTCTTCTTATTTTGTTCAGCTCCCGGATTCCTTAAAGGACTTTTATCGAGAAAAATTCGGCTTCGCTCCGTCGGCAGATATGATGGCCCACCTCAAACGCGAGTTGATGCACGGGATATGGGACTTGCTCCTATGTCCCGAGTTCATTCACGCATACGTACACGGGATTATTATTAAATGTTTTGATGGGGTTGAGCGATTAGTTTTCCCTCGATTCTTCACGTACGGCGCTGATTATCCTGAAAAGTATGTTTCCTGACTTGTGTTTTTTCATACTAATGATTCATAGAGTTCTTCTGGCGACAATAAAGTATTTTGGCGGCTGCCCGTGCCCGCGCTGCTTGATCCAGAAGGCACAGATCGCCGATATGGGAACAAAGGCAGATATGCGGCACCGCCAAAATATTAGGGAATCACACTGTACGTACCATATACGGTACGTGACCAAATACGTGAATACGGAATCCGTTCCGTATACGTACGATAATTGCGAGAAGAAACAACAGCTGACACGGTACGGTACGGGTGATATACGGCCGTAATACGTGATACGTATGGTAAAGAACCTCAACTCAAATCAAAATCTACAATTCACTGGCAGTACTGAAACAGATAGCATCTACCTCGTTCAAAGCATCGAGGACCTCCTTGTGCACCAGTCGGAGCTGAGCCTTGAGTACCATCAAGGCCCTGATGGTGCTGAGCTGCAAGTGAGCTCAACGGAGGGCAATGGTGTTGCGGCCTCCTGAGAAGACGCGCTGCACGGCAACGGCAGAGCCTGGGGAGTTGGTGGCACTCAGAATCAAAATTGTAAAATTTAGTACTAACCATCTCGCATGGTAAGACGAAAGAGGGCGCGCTGTGGCGGGTGCCATGATGGCGGGAGTCAGGCAGCGTTGATAGCCCCGCCTGGGTTGATGGGAATGATGAATGGTGTCCTTGGTCATACAGCAAAAAAACAGTGAAAAGCCTGCTGGCATTTTGGAAGGACAACACATAGAGTTGGTTTCTCAGAGGTATTCTATAGACGTCTTGCAGTTGGATGGGTGACGCAATTGGATTTTGGGAGGAGCGAAGGTCGAAATGGATCTATGCCATTGTTCGCTTCTTGCGGCTCGCCAAGCACAGGACATGTGAAGCTTTGTTCCCTGATAATCACAAATCAACTTATCTTTTGTTGCAGGCACCAGATGAGATAAGATAGTAACCCGTATACGGGTCATACCGTACGAAAAGATACGGGTTCGTGCCGTATACGTACGGCACAGAGCCGAGGGCTGGCTGAGA